CTACTACACCAACCCTAAACCCAACCTTACAACAACCTGTTGTGTTTTAATAATGTCTACTACACCAACCCTAAACCCAACCTCACAACAACCTGTCGTGTTTTAATAATGTCTACTACTCCAACCCTAAACCCAACCTCACAATAACCTGTCGTGTTTAATAATGTCTACTACACCAACCCTAAACCCAACCTCACAACAACCTGTCGTGTTTAATAATGTCTACTACACCAACCCTAAACCCAACCTCACAACAACCTGTTGTGTTTTAATAATGTCTACTACTCCAACCCTAAACCCAACCTCACAACAACCTGTCGTGTTTTAATAATGTCTACTACCCCAACCCTAAAACCAACCTAACAGCAACCTGTTCTGTTTTATTAACGTCTACACCAACCCTTAACCCAACTTCACAACAACCTGTTGTGTTTTATTAACGTGTACACCTACCCCAAGCCTAAGCAAAACCTCACAGTAACTATACACCAACCCTAATCCCAACCAACATGTGGTGTAAGTACCTACCAGTACTCTACCAAAATCTGACAGAGGCAGTACCCCCACTCCGTGTCTCTGGGCATCATCATAGGATGTCCAAATCAACCTGACAACCCTTCAACTGTTATATTTCTCCCATTCCTCTTCATCCCACTGTCCCCTTACCACACCTTTTCATCCCTACATCCACTCAAAAAACATTGCTTCTAAATGTAGCGTAGTCCTTGCTAGGGAATAGTGTCTATTTGGATTAGTCAGCCTACAGCATAATGTATACAGTACTTGACAATAGTATTGCTTAAGTAAACTGTAATTCACCTAATTGCATAAAAGGTGTGCTTAGTTTACATTTGAGGCCAGCCTCTCCTGCTGTTTACAGTTGTTTGTACAGTGCTGCATGTGACTGGAGGCATGAGCTCAAAACCCTGAGGAGGAAGTTGTTGGAGGAAGTTTCTTTTCTGCATGATTTTAGCTTATCTGTTTTGATGCGAGCGAGTCGATGAGTGCACGGTGAACGTGATGGGGTAGTTTGTAAATGATTGGTTTCGTCAGCGCAGACTTTGGCTGTGTGCTGTAACCTGAACTGCCCTTTGAACTCGTGATGGCAGATAAGCAGAAGAAATGGGGCTTCTTTGGAAGGAGATCTTTCTTTGGACAACACTCACGCCAGACTGCTTCGAGTTAGTGAGTAGTGTTCACGTAAATATGGAAGCTGTGAGCTTTAACTGAGATGAAAGTAAACGCCGAATGCATGGCTCTTTCACAACATGCAGTGTATCCTGTTATTGAGTTTGTCTGTTGGAGATCATCTAGCCATTTTTTAACTTGATCATTTCAGCACATTCATTTTAGTTGCTAAAGGAGTTTGGTCAGCTGATGTAGATTTAATTATTAATAGTCCTATATGATTATTCATGTTGATGTATGATATATACAGTAGTTTTGATGAGGAAAATATATAAAGATTTCACCAAAATTGCTTATGTTTAGCTGTGAGAATAACTCAATGCCAGTTTGCAGAGAGTTTTTGAGTTAATGGGTAATTGGTTGCTTATATGAACCAAATCCAAATTGACGGTATTCAGACAGAAGTATGCCTATGGATGGTCTGTCCAGTACTTAGTTAAGCTAGTTTGAGATATTATTCAGGTAGTAACTGGGATTCTGTTCATAGAAAGCACGGCTAGTGGCATATTTTATTTGACTTTTTATATGTTGGCTTTTTCATGATTTTGTTTGCTTGTCTTGAAAATAAGGTTGTTCATCCCAACTCGATTTCAAATAAACATAATAAACCTTTTTTTTGTCAAAATTCTGTTTGACTTACAATCAAAACCTTTCTAAAATGTTCAATTCAGTATATATATATATATATATATATAAATATATATATATATA